GGATGATGGTGGGATCTTAAGCAAGGCAACAGTGAAAACAGAGGCATCTTCCTGGTACTTTCTCAGAAGATGATCATTACATGTACATGTATGATCATTACATGTATATCCAAAGTACATGTATCAAGACACGAATTGGTGTGAATATACTATGGATACAACCAGAGATGTGAAAAAATGTGCTCTATATATGTAATAAGAATTGTAATGCATTCTGCTGTCATACATAAATTTAAAAATTACATAAAAATTCTCAGAAGATGAATCCTATGTAGCCTACTATAGGGCATAGTTGTTGGGGATATGAAACAGCTGTATTTCTCTTTAAATTTTGTTTGTGGATTAGGGGTAGTAGAATTAAATTCATTTTCATTCATTCATTCGCTTAAAATATGAAAATGATCAAGACTGGCAAAGCTCGCTCTCATGGACTTACAATATGGTGGAGGAAGACAGGCATTAAACAAGCCAAATGAGAGGATTACGGATTGTGAGCATCCCATCAATAAAATGAGAAAGGGGTATAATGGAGGAAAGCAGGAGTGGGTGGGACTCGCTGGGTACAGGCTGCAGGGGGAGCCCTGGAGGAGGCGGTGTGGTTTTCCTGTCCCCACTGGGGCTCCTTCTGGATTTCCTGGCTCTTTCTCTTTTACCTACCTTGGGGTTTCAAAGCACAATCCTGGGGTATCTCCTCTTCTCGTTCCACAAATGCTCTCTCTGTGTGCTCTCAGTCAGTTGCATAGCAGATGTCACCCAAATGTATAACTCTAGCTTCCAAAGGTGTTAGGAAAACTGGATCCATGAATTCAAGGGTCAATCCGAGAGCACCCCTGGGAAGTCCACTGGCATCTCAGGTTGAATTTGCTCTTGACTTTCCACTTCCCCAACCTGTGTCCGCTCCCCTGATCTCTGGATTCAGTACACACACTACTGTCTGCCCAATGGCTCAAACCCAAAGCTTAGGAGTCACTATTTTCTGTCTCTGAAATAGGATCAATGGGACAGCATCCTGATTTTTCTGTGAGTGAATAACATGTTCTAAGGCCCCAGTGATGTACTCTAACACAAACGCTGTTGAACCTTCCTCAGCCTGTTGACAGGAGGAGCCGATGAATGTCTTGGTGTCTTGGAATGCATGTATGCTTCGCTGAATCTTCAGTATGTGTTTTCCTCCTGTGGGAGGAAAAAGACATTATAGGAATGGAGACGAATTCACCTTAAAGAAGACCCTGAGGTTGAACTTCTGCCTTTCTCCTAAATTAATAACAGCCTAAATCCCTCCCTGAGGGCTCTTTGGAAGTTCCAGGATAGAAACTGGCTCAGAGAGCCCTACCGTCCTGCTACAGGGCTAGAGAAAGGAGAGGGAGGAGAGGGTGGCTACGAATCTAAAAATGGAAACCCTTGCAGACTAAGGAAGGGACTAGATTTCTTCTTCTTTTTTAAATATGAAATCATTTTTTTTGACTTTTAATTTTTTGACTTTTAATTTTTTATTTGTACTTTTTAGTTACACATGACGGTAGAATGTATTTTGACATATCATACATACATGGAGTGTAACTTCCCATTTTTGTGGTTGTTACATTGGTCATGTATTCATATATGAACATAGGAACGTTATGTCTAATTCATTCTACTGTCTTTCCCATTCCCATCCACCCTCCCCTGTCCAATCCAGTGAAACCCCATGGTGAGCCAGCATCCACATATCAGAGAGAACATTCAGCCTTTGGTTTTTTTGGAATTGGCTTATTTCACTGAGCATGATAGTCTCCAGTTCTGTCCATTTACYGGCAAATGCCATAATTTCATTTCTCTTTATGGCTGACTAATATTCCATTGTGTWTATATATACCACATTTTTTGTATCCATTCATATGTTAAAGGACACCTAGGTTGGTTCCATAGCTTAGCTATAGTGAATTGAGCCACTATAAACATTGATGTGGCTGCGAGGGACTAGATTTATGATGCCTTTCCCTAGACATACTTTCCTCTTCTCCTTTTTTTAATATTTATTTTTTAGTTATAGGTGGACACAGTACCTTTATKTTATTTTTACGTGGTGCTGAGGATCGAATCCAGTGCCTCACKCATGTTAGGCGAGCACTCTACCTCTGAGCCACAACCCCAGCCCCTCTCTTCTMCTTTTAATAAAATTTTAACCAATTATTTCTGAGCACTCACTGTGTGTCAAGAGTTTTCACACGTACATTAAATAATTTTTTAGCAATTTTTTCTAGCAATGCCATTACAGGTTAGCAAACTTTCACTGGTTGAACCCTTGATTATACAGCAGAACTGAGGGCAGATGGAAACCTTAGTAACTTGCCTGAACAAATAAAATACACATAGTATAATGAACTTCAGGTGTATTTCTGTGCATATATGTGAGCTGTAGATAGCAGCTGAGAGTTGTATTTAAGGTTATAAACCCTACAGAAAGACTTCCCAAGCTTGAGCCTGGTTCCATCATTACCAYCTGTGTCACCTTGGACAAATCCCTTCCCCTCTCTGGGCCTATCACCTCTTGCATTTAGAATACTCAGAGCAGTGCCTGGAATCCAGTAGGTCCTTGGTCGCCATCAGGCACCAGGTACTTGGTACACGTGGCCCAGAGCTTACTTGGGGCTCTCTGTACTGAGAGCTTACTTGGTGGGGGTCAAGCACTGGGTTGATTGACACAGACAGCGCACATCCTGAAGATGGTCTCATGGGATCCTCACATCATTTTGCCAGGATATCATCCTTCCTCTTTTAGAGTGAAGGAATCAGAGACTCCAAACCATCCCTGATATCAAACAATCTCCCAGGAAGTGGCAGAGTAGGAATTCAAATCCTGCTTTGGCTGCCTTGAAAACCTGGGCCCAGCGAGGGAGGGGGAGCCGGGGTACGGGGGGAGGGGGGTGTGCAGGCTTGTAATCCCAGTGGCTCAGAAGACTAAGGCAGGAGCATTGCGAGTTCAAAGCCAGACTCAGCAATGACAAAGCACCAAGTAACTCAGTGAGACCCTGTCTCTAAATAAAATACAAAATAAGACTGGGGATATGTCTCAGTGGTTGAGAACCCCTGGGTTCAATCCCCAGTACAAAAAAATAAAACTGGGCCCAGTAACAAGCTCAGAAATTGGTGCTGTCAGGTAGGTTGTGGCCCTTCTCCCTGGAAAGCCTGAGACATGAATTGCTGTTCATGCTTATAGTACAGAAATGTGTGCTCGCATGCATGTCTGCACACACGTGCATAGGTTTATACACACACACACACACACACACACACACACACACACACACCCTGTGATCTTCAGGTGAGGAACTTCCACAGTGCCTGCCCTGCGCCCTCTACTGACTACTGCAGCAACCTCGGCCCTGAAAGTCAATTTCCCAGATGAGAACTGCAGGTGGCTGTGGAAACTACTCAAACCAATTAAATTTTTTTTTACATCAGAAGATGCTGAAGACCTTGAATCCTTCTTATTTCAGTTGCGTGAAAACAAGAGGTTTTGAAAACACAAAGCAGATCAAGCCACATGGAAAACCAAATACATGTCAAGGCCAGGTGCTCTCATTTTGCAATAAACAAATGATTTGATTTACATGAAACTTTTATATATATATATATAATTCTGTGGGTTGGGGTTGCAGAGGGTCACCTGGGAGGATTTTTTGCACCTGTCAGCGATACAATAATGATATTTGCTGGGAGGCTCCTTGAAGGCAAAATAGAAAATGCTTACAAAAAAAAAAAAATAGGTAATGAGACTTCTTATCCTGCAGCTCCAACTCCACACCTCACCCTGCAGCTCCACCTCCACACCTCACCCTGTACACACCTCTTCTTATGATAAAAAGACCTCAAGTTTTCTGACATGCAGCACCTATTCTCTCTCTCTCTCCTCCCCACCCCTTTCCTGCCTTTGCTTTCAGGAAGAAATTCTAGAATCTAAGACCTGAAAGATCATCCAATACAGCAACATGGTTAAAGAAAGCCACTTTCAAGTCAGGCAGACCTGGGTTTCAGTCCTGGTCATAGCACCTTATGCAAGTGACTTAAACCCTCTGGGTGTATAAAAATCATGGATTTAAAATGATCTGATAGGTTTGGTGTCAGGTTTGAAGGAGCTAATGCTTACATATTCCTTGACTCGGAGTCTGAAATACAGTTTAAGCCTCCAAAAGAGTCTTATTGTGGACATCCAGCCCCAACTTTTCATTCTATAGACAAAGAAACTAGATTCAGGGAGAATTGATTTCTCTGCGTTAGATAGCAAGTTAATGACAAAGACTAGATTCAGGGGTCCAGCCCAGCCCTCTTTCAACTATACCCGAGTGGATTTTCCTTCATTGATCAATTTCAGGAAGGAAAAGGTTGGGGCACTTTCCAACTAGTTGGTCAGTTCATGCTGAGCAGAAGCTGTTGCCAGAGCCAAGATTACCCTGCAGTCCTGGGCCCCCATCATCAGCAGCCAGCTCACAGCCCACTTAACACACTCTGTCCTCAGAGCTATTGAGCTCTGGTAAAGTTGGTTTCCACAGAGCTCTTATCACTAATTTATCTTCTGAAAGCTGAAGCTAAAAAACAATTAGACGATTACATGGTGTTACCACTAACAGCCTCAAATGTTCTGGAAACACAGAAAAGCTCTGCATCCAGCCAGCCTCCTATCCACATTCCTGAGTACTCTCCCCCAAGGCCCTCTCCCTGAACTGAGAGGCTGAATGGTTACCTACTCTGGGCTCCACTCTTGCCCTCGTAGTCCTGTTGCACCCCAAGTGTTCCCCCACCTGCCTTTTCTTAAGAGTCACAGCCAACCATCATGCACATGCTCAAAGCCTTTTGTTCCCATTGTCCACAATGATTTTCCATAGCAATGTTCAGTTCCAGCCGGGGAGCAAACAGTAATTTGTGAGCAGAGCACTTCCTGTTTCTCTGGTGTTTCCAAAGAGGACAGAATCAATTGTTCTGACAAATGGCCCCATGTGTCCACCCTTTGTCAGAATTTCTGAAATCCAGCCAGAGCCTGGGGTTCCTGGCAGACAGGTGAGCTGGTGTCTACCCCACTCGGGACCAGGTGGTCCACAGCTGCGCACACCAATCAGCCTTTTTTCCAGCCTGGGTCTCTAATCCTAGTGAACAGGGGCAAGTGGGAGGTCAGGAGAGGCCTGGAAATTGGAAAAGCTGTGAGGGGCTCTGGTTATGCTCCTTTCAACAGCTCAGGGATGAGGATGCTATAATTCTTCAGGAGACACAAGAAATACAGAAAAAAATATTTTGAGCTTCTGCCTCTCTGAAGTCTTCAGCTGCACCATTCACAGTAACAGTTCAATAGGATGGTGCCTGCTATCCAGGGACATGTCACTCTCTTAGCCAATGCCACACAGGGTTTCTTAGAGTCAGCATGGGGTGCCAGAGACCCCAGGAGAAGCTGAGCCTGGAATAACTCTCTCACTCTCAGAGGTTGCATAGACCCCCAGGTTCCCACCCCAGACCCCCACTACTGTTGCAGGAGAGAAGGGACAGAGGGGTGGGGAAGGAATGTCCTCTTACACATACTGTTTACTTTGGGCCTGGCTAGTGACTTCAGGCCTTATCATTGGGTCCTCAGACTGGGCTGGGCTGGGCAGGGCAGGTCTCAGTGTTGGGGAGAATTGTTTCCCCAATTCAACAGCCAGCTCACGGCCCACTTAACACACTCTGTCCTCACTCTGTGTGAGAGAAGAAAGGAGAGGGTGAAGCAGACTCCAGTGGGGAGAGAGAGAAGCTGCTGGTTGGACCACAATGAAAATCCTCCTCCTGCTGCTGCTCGTGCTTCTCGACCTGGGACAGGCCCAAGGAGCCCTTCACAGGTGAGGGGGTGTCCCCGGCACTGAGTTCTACTGGCACAGCCCCTGCCTGCATCCCCAACCCCAGCCCAGCTCTGGGCTGCCCTCGGGGAGGACAGCTTATGGGGATCCATGGGAAAGGTGTCCAGTGGCCACTTTGTGTGTGGCTTCTAATGAGCTCCAGAGGCACCTGCCCTTAGCCCTGGGGAACTCCTCTGCCACCATAGAGCAAAAACTTGCCCTTGTGGTTTATTGCTCAAAACCCTCTAGTACCCCCCACAAGAGGCCAACCATGACTGCCACACAGTTTTTCTGTCCCTTTAAATCAGCTTTGATGCAGCTCATGTTATGCTGTGGGGGGCCCCACATCTCCCAGTTCCTAGATCTCAAAGAGCCTGTGTCCAGGAGGGAGAGCCTTTCCACTGCAAGATTCTGAGAGTCTCAGGGCAGAGATGAGGCTGCCTGGCTGGAGGCAGAGGAGGTGCTGATTCTGGCTGCACCCTAGCCTTGTGGCTCTGCTCTTGTGTCAGTTCCTAGTTAACCTCTGAACAGAGGCAGGGGGGCCGGGGAGGGGAGGAGAGGRAGGTAGAACTGCGTCCTCTCCTCACATGGGGCTTCGTCTTCAGGGTGGCCCTCAAGAGGCACCAGTCCCTCCGGAAGAAGCTGCGGGCCCGGGGCCAGCTCTCTGAGTTCTGGAAATCCCAGAACTTGGACATGATCCAGTTCACCGAGTCCTGCACCAAGGACCAGGGCACCAACGAGCCCCTCATCAACTACTTGGATGTGAGGCATCTTGGGGATGGGGCCCGGGGAGAGGGGAGGAGGGCATTACAGGGCCATTTCAGCAGTGTTGAAGGTCACTGTGGACTTCTTGGTTTGGGTGATTCATAAGGACTGGTCCCCTGGGTCTCTGTGGACTTTGTAGAAAGGCCAGAATGAGTAGAGCTCTCTGCGGGAAGGAAGGGATAAGGATGCAGGCATCCCAGATGGAAGGAGCCCACTTCTGCACTCGGCTGGGCAGCTTACTAACTATGCCCTTAGGCAAAGTACTTGACTTCTCCCAGCCGGTACCCTGATCCCTAATGTGGAGCTGCTCCTACCTCCCCTGCCTGTTAGGAATCCAGAAAATACAAGTAAAATCAAACAAAGTGCCTGGGGGCTGCAGGGTCCCACATCTCCCAGTTCCTAGATCTCAGAGATCTTCCTCCTTCATGACTTTTCCTCTGCTTCTTTTATTTCCCAGCCATCCCATCTCCTAGGCTCTGTAAGCACCAGTCCATTGTACCCTCTGCTCAGGCCGTAGACACTCTACCTTGGTCCCTTGGTGGCCCCTGCCCTCCACTCATGCCTCCTTCCCTCTCTCCCTCCTTGCAGGTAGAATACTTTGGCACTATCTCCATTGGCTCCCCACCACAGAACTTCACTGTTATCTTTGACACTGGCTCCTCCAATCTCTGGGTCCCCTCTGTGTACTGCACCAGCCCAGCCTGCAGTAAGTGGGGACAGGAGCCCTCGTGGGAGATGACTGGGGTCCAGTCCTGGGACGCCAGGTACTCTGGGGTTGGGGAACAAGGGGTTCCAGAAACTGGCTATCTCTGCCACACCGAGTTTCCCCTCCCCTTCTCTGGGTCTGCCTGGCACTGCTTACAGCTCAAACAGGGCTGGGCCAGGGAGAGAAAGAAAATGTGGTTGCTATCTATGATAACAACTTCATACTGGTCAGAATTAGGAGGGAGAAACCTAGGCATTGAAAAGATAAAACTTCGATTTTTATGACTCACTTCCCCTGGAACACCAAAAGAACATGGGAGAAAGTTCCATTTGACTGACTCTATGCCTTGAAAAATAAAGGTCAGCAACTCCTGATGACTGTAGTTTCTAAGTACAAACAGTTCGCCTACTTCGAGAAGATTTGGTGGCCCTTCTTCCCCTGAGGTGGGGTTGTGGGTCACAATGGCATGGGTGTGTCCATTTGCCCAGAGGTAACTCAGCAGTATCAGTGAAAACTGAAAACAGAAGACAGACATAAAGAAAAATGTCTTAGTCTGTGTGGGGCAAGTTCTAGAGAACCTCCTCTGTCCCTGGAAACCCTGACCCAGGTTATCCCCAAGGTTGGGCAGGGTCGGGAGTACTTTGCTGGAGTGGTGATTGTTTACCCCTGAGTTTCTTTTGAAGTCCAGGCTCTGCCCCACACCAACTGGCTGAGACTGCTGTTGGCGCCTGATAAATGGCACTTATCTAGGTGTGCCTCATGAGGTCATTGCGGGCAGTCAGGTTTGCCCAGGGACAACTATTTGCTCCCCAATTAAGCCACATCTCCTGGTAGGCTCACTAGGAAGGGCCATGGTCAGCTTTTCTGGGGGTGCCCTTTCCGTGTTGGGAGCTGAGGGAAGAGACGGCACATCTCTAGGGCAGGGATGAGGGCAGTGACGGTACCCTTGCTTTCCAGAGTCACACCCCGTGTTCCACCCTTCCCAGTCCAACACATACAGTGAGCTGGGCACTTCTTTCTCCATTCAGTATGGGACCGGGAGCTTGTCTGGGATCATCGGAGCCGACCAAGTCACTGTGAGTACTATACCTGTGTCTCCTTCTCTCTTGGCCAGAAACTTGAGAGGGAACATTGTTGGGAGGACTTGGGGGTGCAGTTTCAGGTCTGCTTCAGGAAGAGGTGGAAAGAGGGAGTGAGGCTGGATTTAGGGAAAGGGGGAAGCCTGGCAGGCAGGGGAGCAGCCCTCCCCACCAGAGATGGTGGCAGTGTGTCAGTCTGCTCAGCACTCTGGGCCCTAGAGGGACATCAGGGAGCTCCCAAGGGAAACTGTCCCCAGAGCACAAAGACTGCTGGTAGGGCTGGACACCCGTCTGCAGAGGGTCTGAGGAGATAAGACCAGGCCTCCATCCTGAAAGGCAAAGGAGTCCAAGCCACGGGGTGCTGCTAGGGGTGGGAGGACTCAGTGAAATAAGTGGGCAAAGTCTGAGGTGTGGAGACCAGGAAGAATCCAGACATCAAAATGAAGGGTCTAGGTCGCACAGGTTGCTCCTTCAACTCTCTTTGGCCAAAGATCGTAGGGCTTCCAAAACCGTGGGACTCAGAATGATGTGAGGACAGGAACCAGCAGGGTCCTGGTCCTGCAGGGCGACTTTGTACAGGCTTATGGGCAGTGGTCTAGGCCTACGCCTTGGAAAATAAAGGTCACCAACTCCTGTTGACTGTAGTTTCAGTTCTAAGAAACTATGTAAGTTCTTACTAGAGATAGTAAGACTCTAGTAAGAACTATCTAAGAGCAGCAGGGGCTAGCCTTCATGAACATCTGTTCTAAAAACCGGATGCATGCCTATAATCCCAGTAGCTCAGGAGGCTAAGGCAAAAAAAAAAAAAAAAAAAAAATCACAAGTTCGAAGCCAGCCTCAGCAACATAGCAAGGCCCTAAGCAACTTAGCAAGATCCTGTCTGAAAATAAAATATAAAAAGGCCTGAGGATGTGGCTCATTGGTTCAGTGTCCCTGGCTTTAATCCCTGATTTAAAAATAAAATCCCTTCTAAGCGGGTAGGGGTATATTATTAAGTGAAAAACAGAAGCAGAAAAGCACTTTATATGTCGAAATATGTACATGTAAAACACAGAGATAAAATAATACACTGTATTTTCCATTGAAACCATTTCCATTGAAATTGGCAAGGAGAAGGGAGTTCTAGTCCACAGCTTGCACTCATGAGCTGGTTCACCTGGTTGGTGCCACAGCAACTCCAGCCTGGGTTGCTTCTTCCTCCAGTGCTTCTTGCTCCAGGGCAGGTGCATGTTCATCTCTGTGAAACGGAGTGTCAGCTTTTGCTGCAGGACATCCCCATCATCACAGAGTTGGGACAATGAGACAGCAACGTGGGTCCTAGTCCACCTTCATCCTTGAAGGTTCCAATTGACCCTATTTCCACTTGACATCTGTCTTCCCTTTCTGCTGCCCAAACTGAAGACTTCAAGCTATAGCACTCAGACAGAAACAATGTTCTAAGGTATGCTGCTAGCTGACATCTACAATTGCATATAGTCAAATATCTAAATATACTCCATCTCATGTGTGTGCCTCTGTGTGTGTGTGTGTGTGTGTGTGTGTGTGTGTGTGTGTGTACCCACAGCATGGTAAAGTTCACATATATAGCAAGCTAATGCAGTTCTTAAAGGGACAACTATAATCTGAAATGCATGTATTAGAAAAGGTGAAAAATTAATGAATTAAGCTTCTGTTTCAAGTAAAAATAAACAAGAAAACTATCAAGAAGCAACATCAAATCAAACCTAAAGAAAGCAAAAGGGAAGAAATAGTAAAGAGACCAACAGGATATCAATGAAATAGGAAAGTCAGATTACATAGAAAATCAATAAAGCCAAGAATTAATTCTTTTCAAGGAGCAATACAATTTTTTGCTGCAGGACACCCCCATCATCAAGGGACTAAGACAGTGAGAGAGCAATGTGGGTCCCACCAATGTGGATCCTAGCACAATTAGTCAAAAAAAAAATGAAAGAAAATACAACTTAGCAATATTAGAAATGAAAAAGAGGACATTAATACAGATCCTGTGGACATTTAAAATAGAAGCTATTAATAATAATTTTTATTGATAAAATTTACACTTTAAAAAAAATTGGCAGATACCTTGAGAAATATGGCATATCAAAACTGATATTTTCATGTCAGAAAATATGAATACATCAGTATCTAGTTGAATATTCACTCTGTTATTCAAACTCTTTCCATGAAGAAAATTCCAGACTCAATTAGCCCCAATGGTGCATTCTTCTAAATGTTTAAAAAGAAATGACTAGAAAAATCTTTTGGGTTTTTAAACATTTTAAAAAACAAACATTCCCAAAGTTAATAAACACAGAAAAAATGGAAATAACATAAACCTTACCTATATTCTTCCAGAAAATCCATAATGAAGGAATACTTCATAAGTCATTTTATGAAAACAGAATAAGTTAATTGCAAAACTTGAAAAATATAGTATAAAAATTAGAATTACAGACCAATTTTATCCTGTGAATATAGATGCCATTGTCCTAAATACTAGCAAATAAAATCTTGAGATATATAAAGGGATAATGTATCCCAACCAAAAATCATTTCTCCCTAAAATTAATCAACTAAGAGAATAAAAAAAGAAAAGTCATATGATTTTTCTCAACTGATAAAATTCAATATCTATTCATGACTTAAAAAAAAGAAACTCTTAGAAAACTAGAATATAAAGCAACTTCCTTAATCTGTTAAAGAACATCTAACAAAGAATCCCACAGCAAACTTTACACTTCATGGTGAATTGTTGAGAGACTTCTCCCTGAGATCATGAATGAGACAAGAATGCTCATTTTTACTATTTGATTACTATTTGATTCTTTTTAGTTCATTTTTACTATCTATATTCAACATTGTGCTGAAGATTCTAGCCAATGCAATAAGGCAAGAAAAAAGAAATCCAGGTAATTAAGACAAAAAGGGAAGAAATAGTCTTATCATTAATATATGACAAGATTCTATAAATAGAAAATCCAAAAATATCAACAGGTATAATGTTGGAATTAATAACTAAACTTTGTGAAGTTGCAGGAAATGAGGCCAACATACAAAACATAATTTGCATTTTTATAAAGCAGGAAAAAAGCAACAAAATATGGTTTGTTAATGGCACTATTAATTCCATCAAAAAACATCAACTACCTTGAAGTAAATTTAACAAATAATGTAGTCTAAAACTTTAAAACATTACTGAATAAAATTAAAAGATCTGCATAAATTGAAAGATAAACTATACCCACAGATTGAATGACTCAGTTTTATAAAGAAGTCTAAATTTTTCAAATTTATCTATTTATCCAATGTTATCCCAATCAAAATAGCAGCAATTTTTATTAGAAATTAATAAGATGATTCTAACATGTATATGAATATAATGTAATACACCAAGATAATTTTGATGAAGGAAAACAATGCCAAATATTATTATAAAACCATAGTAATTTAGTATTGGCACAGGATTAAGAAAATGGACAAATGCAACAGAATTTAAAATTCAGAAACTGCCTAAACAATCACCTGATTTATGTTGAACATGTTATGGCAGAATGCGGAGAAAATAATGGTATATTATTATATCATTAAATAGTGCTAGGTCACTCTGAGATTCATGAACCTTAGGTAGATTATAGATCTAAATGTAAAACATAATACAATAAAAWTTTTAGGAGAAAACATAGGAAAATATTTTCATGACCTCAGGGTGAAATAATTCTCTGAAACAAGTTATAAAACTCACTAGTACTAAAGGAAAAAATTGACTTGACTGCATTGAAGTTCATATGTTCTGTTACTCAACTTAAGATGTTATTAAGAGAGTAAAAGCACCACTCACAGTCTGGGAGAAGATTTTTGTAATTAACAAGAAAGGACTTGATTCTGGAATATATCAACAAGAAAATGACCATAGCTCACTTTATAAAAGGGAATATCCAAATGTTCAATTTTATTAATTACCAGAAAATACAAATTAAAACCACAGTTAAACCCCCTGCACATCAACTAGAAAATTAAAATGGAAAAGACAGGAAATAACTAGTGTTAGTGAGGATGTTGAACAATTGGAATTCCCAAAATATTAGTAGTGGAAATATCAATAGGTACCATGATTATGAAAAACTCTTTTTCCTATTTACTCATGCATTACACTTGTATTCCCTGTAATCTTGCGATTTTATTCCCAGGTCTATATACAACAGAAAAACATGCATGTATTTGCCAAAAGATGTATACAACCAGCACCATTAGTAATAGTCAAATACAGGAAACAACTCAAATATCCATCAATGGTAGAATAGATAAATATGGTGATATGTTATACCATGGAATACTTTATTTACTTAATTTACTTCAATTAAATTTGCACAAAAGAATTAAGTAAATGCAAAAAAAAATATCTTAGCTGGGTGTGATGATACACGACTGCAATCCTAGAAGTGGCTTGGGAGGATAGCAAGTTCAAAGCCAGCCTCAGTGATTTAGCGAGGCCCCAAGCAACTCAGTGAGACCTCGTCTCTAAATAAAATACAAAAAAAAAAAAAAGGATGGGGATGTGGCTCAGTAGTTAAGCACCCCTGATTTCAATTTCCAGTACCCTTACCCCAAAAATCTTTGTGCCCATTTTATTAAGGAAAGTTGAGAAGGGAAGTAGCTTCAGGAGACAGGGAGGATGCAGGGGTCCGAGAACCTTTGCCAGCCATCCCCTCTGCAGTTTTCCTATGGGCTTTCTCCCTGCAGGTAGGAGGACTGACTGTGATTGGCCAGCAGTTTGGAGAAAGTGTCAAAGAGCCCGGCCAGACCTTTGTGAATGCAGAGTTTGATGGAATCCTGGGTTTGGGATACCCTTCCTTGGCTGCTGGAGGTGTGACTCCAGTATTTGACAACATGATGGCCCAGAACCTAGTGGATCTGCCCATATTTTCTGTCTACATGAGCAGGTAAGGCCCATCAAGCCCACCCAGTTAAGGCCAGTAACGACTACAGGAAGACAACATGGTGCCCCAGACTTAGTGGCCAAAAGAGCTGACTTGGATGCCTTGCTTGGCCTGTAGTCAGCTGTGTGATCTTGGGCAAAACATTTAACCTCTCTGGATTCTGAAGAAATGGGGTTTGCTTCATAAAGTAGCTGTGACAAGCGCTTTGTAAATTCTACAGCAATTATTGAATTTAAGGATCTCTAGAATTGATTTATTTTTTAGTCCATAAATATCAAGTTCCTCTTACATGCTGGGCATAATGTTAGACACTGTGGCACAATAAAATAAAACCAATCCTCAGAGTTGGGGGAGGCAGGAACAAATTTACAAAGTGAACTGACAAGAAAAGAATTGCCTGCTACAGATGAGCAAAACACTGTCTGTCCATAGCATGGAATATTATTCAGTATTAAAAAGGAAGGAAATTTTGACCCATGCTACAACATGGATTAAACTCAAGGACAGTATGCTAGGTGAAATAAACCAGTCACAGTGAGACAGATCCTATATGATTCCACTGGCATAGGGTACCTAGAGCTGTCAAAAGCATAGAGACAGAAAGTATGATGGCGGTTGCCAGGGGCTGGAGGAGGAGGAAGGAGGATACATGGAGTCTCATTCTGCAGATTGAAAGAGTTCTGCAGGTTGGTTTGGCAACAATGTGAGAGTATTTGACTCTTTTGAATTGAGCACTCAAAAAAATGGTTAAGATGGGAATTTTTATGCTATCTGCATATATTACCACAATTAAATAAAACTTTAGACATGGTAGCTGGGTATAGTGGCTTATGCCTGTAATTCCAGCGATTTGGGAAGCTGAGGCAGGAGGATTATAAAATTGAGGCCAGTCTTAGCAACTTAGTGAGGCCCTAAGCAACTTAGCAAGACCCTGTCTTAAAATAAAAAATAAAAAGGGCTGGGGATGTGGCTCAGTGGTAAAGCGACCCTGGGTTCAATCCTCAGTACCAAAAAAAAAAAAAAAAAAGCAAAAACTTCATGCATTATAGTTGAAGAGGTCCTGAGGCTTATGTGCCTCTGGGTACTCTTGGCAGGGGCTTGTGGGCGGTCATCTCATCCTCCTTATATGGAATGGAGATTTCTTACCCCTCTGACTCCTTCCCGGGTAGGCCTGGCTTGAGTTCACCCTGATCCAACATAAGCCCGTTTTCCCTGTTTCCTCGTCCCACATGAAAAGTTCTGAGCTCCTCCTCCCAGGTTGTGCTTCATCCCCAGCATGGCTGCAGTCAGGACAGGCCTGGGCAGAACCGTAGGACAGGCAGGCTGTCTGGGCACCTGAGCTTTCCCCTGCAGGGCTTCCTGCTCCCTCTGTCCCAGGAACAAGTGAGCAGTGAAGGGCAATAGCAAGGGCCCTGCAGTCAGACCAGCCTGGATATAAATCCTACCCCCTGCATGGCTTCCTCTCCCAGAGCCTCAGTTTCCTCATGGGGCCCTTCCTTAACAATTTGCCTTTCTCTCCATATAGTGACCCACAAGGTGGCTCAAGTAGTGAGCTGACGTTCGGAGGCTATGACAGCTCTCATTTCTCCGGGAGCTTGAATTGGGTCCCGGTCACCAAGCAAGCCTACTGGCAGATTGCGCTGGATAAGTGAGTATCCTCCATGAAGTGGCGGCCGCTTGGCGGTAGAACTCAAAACAGACCCAACTCAAACTGAGTGACACTGCCGGTCATTAGGAGCGGAAGCTGTGGTTTGAAGGTGTGGAGATGCTGAGCAAAGGTACAGGAAGAGGAATTAGTGACCAGGGACAGAAGCAGCTTAGTTCCTTGTATGTGGGGTGCACCTCTCATTCAACAGACAGCAATACCAACATGCCGCCTGCTGCCCTGTGTTGGCTCAACGTTAATTGACACACAAGGCAAGGCCGGAGGGACATGGGGATGCAAAGACAGTCACACAAACAGCTACCACATAAAGTGGAAATGGTCAGGGCTGCCAAGGAGGAGCCACCAAAGAGGCCCAGCAAACAGGGCAGGACAGCTCCTCTCTGGAGATCCCTCAAGGGTTTCATGGAGGGAGTAGAGTTGAAACTGAACCTTAAAAACCAGTACAGTACATGGGTGTGGAGAAATGGGGAAATGCCTGCTGTGTACCTGGAGCCGTGCTAGACAGGAATTCGAAGAAGTATCATTCAAGTATCAGGTTCTGCATGGTACCAAAGAGTAGAAAAGCCGAGATACTCACCGTCTACTTGAGGCCCTTTCAGACTGTGGGGATGTACCTACTGATGGGCCATGACATCATTGTCGGGATCCTGACCTGCAGTTTTTAATGAAATGTAATACAATAGGAAATATCAGAGTGCCCTTCAATTGTATGTGTGTTACATCAAGCAGTCAGTGTTGCCGGGCCGCAATGGCACACGCCTATAATCCCAGTGGCTCAGGAGGCTGAGGCAGGAAGATCGTGAGTTCAAAGCCAGCCTCAGCAAAATTGAGGCACTAAGCAGTTCAGTGAGACCCTGTCTCTAAATAAAAAAACACAAAATAGGGCTGGGGATGTGGCTTGGTGGTCTAGTGCCCCTGAGTTTAATCCCTGGTACCCCCCACAAAAAAAGTCAGTGTATTTCTTATTATGGAACTCAGGAGAGAGAGAGAGAGAGAGAGAGAGAGAGAGAGAGAGAGAGAGAGAGATTGATTGAGATGATTAAACACCCATGTGATGTGATGGGAGATTAAAATGGGCATCGTCAAGTGCTCTGGTACAATAAAGAGCCCTACAGGGAGCAGAGGTGCTGGGGACCCGGGGAAGCAGGGCTGATGATGATCCCTTTGCCCTCAGAATCCTGGTGGGAGACACTGTGACATTCTGCTCTGAGGGCTGCCAGGCCATTGTGGACACAGGGACTTCCCTCATCACTGGCCCTTCCCACAAGATCAAGCAGCTGCAGGAGGCCATTGGGGCGGCGCCCATGGATGGAGAGGTGAGTGGGGTGGGGAGGGGAGAGGAGCAGGAGAGTCCAGCCTTCTCCTGGGAAATGGGTAGCCTCTGAGTGGGTCCCTGTGCTCTGTTTTAGTACACCGTGGAGTGTGCCAACCTCAATGACATGCCAGATATCACTTTCATCATCAACGGCGTCTCCTACACCCTCAGCCCAACTGCCTACACGCTGCTGGTAAGCTCCATTTCCTTTTTCTGCAAGTCACAGGGCCTGGCCCACAAGCCTGCCACTTCCCCTTGTCAACAGTCGCCTGCACTTAGCTACATGTACCCCAAGCCCCCTCCCACATTGTCCTGTCCTGATGTGCCAGTCCCCCCCCCCCCGACAGGGACACAGCTTCTATGATGGCAACTCCACTGGACTAGTTCTCATTTCCAGTTCTGCCATGAAATAGCCACGAACCTTAGGCAAGCCACGGAGGGGGTTTTCTGATATTGTCCCTTGGGATTTATCCACTGACAGTTTGAATCCCCTTGACCACTAAGTCTGACGACAGCTATTATCCCATTGTATAAATGAGAATATTGAGACTCTTGGGGTTAGGTAAATGGTTCAGCATAGAGTTGCTTGGGGTACAGAATGAGGTTCTTCTAACATTCAAATTCACATTCCTCAGCAACCAAGAAAATGTATTTATTGCAGTAGACTCTCAAGTGTGGAGGGCAAGGTAGAAAGGAAATTCCTGAGCATTTTGAAAACTAGAGTCCCTTCCACCACCACTGGCCTCGATTTCCAACATTGCAATTCTTTGGCAACTGTTTTAGTCAGCTTGTTTGTTGCTGTGATTAAAAGACCTGACCAGAACAGTTGTAGAGGAGGAAAAGTTTATTTGAGGCATCACAGTTGCAGAGGTCTCGGTCCACAGAAGTCGACTGCATTCCTCTGGGCTTGAGATGAGGCAGAACAACATGGGGATGAGTGTGGCAGAGGGAAGCAGCTCACATGATGATCAGGAAGCAGAGAGAGAGACAAATACAAATACAAATATACACCCCAAAGTCACACCCTCAATGCCTACCACCTCCAACCACACCCTAGCTGCCTCAGTTACCATCCCGTTAATCCCTAACTGGGGATTAATTCACTTATTGGGTTAAGACTCTCACAACCCAATCATTTCTCCTCTGAACCTTCCTGCATTGTTTTACACATGAGCTTTAGGTCGGGGGGCAGGGGAAGCCTCCCTGCTCTGTTTTTCAAAAAGCTCACTCAAGTGATTCCTCCGAGAACATCAATAAGAAAATAGCAGTGGTTAGATTACACTTACAGTGTAATCTGTCTCCCTAAAAAAAATGAACTTGAGCTTTACAGGAAACGAAAGGAACCAGGATTTAAATCAGGGTCTTCTAGTGCCAAGCCTTTTGTTTTTCTGGACATGCAGTAAGGTTTCAGTTTTTCTAACTGTCAAACGATGGTGGTGTGAAGGTGCCCGCCCGGCAGACGAGCAGTTCTCGAAGTTGTATAGAACATGGATGAGTGAACTTGTGCAAACAAATACTTCACTGARCAAACTGGGCTAGGATTATATGAAGTGGGAGGATGGATCCACCAGCGAAAATGGGGGCGGCACTGCTCCCCTCTTCTCCTGTATGTCATTGACATACTTCATTGTGACTCCAGGACTTTGTGGATGGAATGAAGTTGTGCAGCAGTGGCTTTCAAGGACTCGACATCCAGCCTCCAGCCGGGCCTCTCTGGATCCTGGGCGATGTCTTCATTCGGCAGTTTTACTCAGTCTTTGATCGTGGAAATAACCGCGTGGGGCTCGCCCCAGCAGTCCCTTGAGCAGGGCTCGGTGTCTCGGCCTGTCTACCTGGCAACCCCCGGGCCTGTGAGGTTAGGGCATTCTCTACACCTGTCAGCAGGGCCTTTCCCACAGAAAACAGTTGTTCCCAGAATTGCAACTTGAATTAGGACAAATGGAGCATGAGAGCACACACACACGCATATACAACCTCACTCACACTTCACACACACACACACACACACACACACACACACACACACACACCAAATCAACCACCATCGTGGCAGAAGAATTAAGTTGTGAGTCCATATTCTTTATTGCTTTTTTTTTGTTGAATTTTTTATCACAGAAATCTCCAAACACATACACACCAGAGGTTGTGGTCCAGTAAGTCCCTACACACCCCACCCAACTTTACCAACGCATCCACACATGGCCCAGGACCCCTTCATCCATATCACCATCCACTTCTCTCTCTAGCTCCAYAAACCTGGATTATTTTGAAACAAATTTCAAGAATCACATCATTTTATCCATAAATATTTCTTATCATCCTCACACATCCACTTGTGATTCAGATATCTCTCATTGCCTCCTAAATGTGTGACCATTTTTACAGTTGGCTTGTTTGTATCAGCATTCAAACAAGATCCACAAATTGCATTCATTTGAAATGTCTCTTGAGTCTCTTTTCTTCTATAGAATTGACCATATTCGGAGTTTTGCTGGTGGAAATTCAGAGGTGTCATTTAACATGGGTCTCTGAGCCCATCTTTTCTACAGAACGGTGCTTAGATCTGGAGGCCTGAGTTCATGGCAAAACACTTCATGGATGGGGCTGGGCACTTCTCGTTGTATTCCATCAGGAGGCAGATACAGCTGTGTGCCTCTCCATTGGTGGTTTAAGACTGACACGTGGGGTTGGAATTGTGAGCCTTCGCCATCCATTGACTTTAGCATCTCACCTGCAGGTTTTAGAGGCATTGATGGTCATCACTGAGACCCACTCTATCTATCATTAGGAACTTCTCTACTTCTGTTTCTTTTTCTGCATTTGTTAGCTAGAATTCTTCTGTAATTGCAAACTTCCCTCCTCAACCACTAGCTCACCATGAGATAGAAAAAAGATAACTTTCTGGGGCAGGGTATTTTCCTCATCTATTTAACGACTGTCAAAACAATAAGCTGGTGTGATAGCAAATTCCAGTGGATTCTAAACATCTTTGGTGTGTTTCAATTTACTGAAGATATTTTTAGTTGCTCAAATCACCCCATATTGAGCCAGCAGGTGACCYTTCAAGTTAGTTCCTGTGAACTTTTCTGGCCCATCATGCCACTTCCAGCTCCACAAGTGGCATTAGCCATTGTCCCAAGAAGTCCTCGTTCCTTGCAGTGTGCCCATATTTTTTTTGCTGTAATGAAAATATTTCATAGTATGTAGGGGATGGAGAGAAGAGAGAGAGAGTAAGCCCTTTTCACATTTGGGACCCCAGGGCCCATTCTGAGGAATCTACCACAGAGAATCCCCACCTGAGGCACATCCTTATTCTGGTAGTTCCTGTTGCCATGAGACATGACTTATTTTTCTCTTCCTCTCTTTAATTTTTGCTACTTTCAAGATAGAAGTRTCCTCAGTTTTGTTCTTACTATAAAATATGCACAAGTGCTCCATGATCCTACCTTTCAAGCGCTAGTATAAATTTGAAGATTTTTGTTGTAGTTGTTTTGTTTTACTTTGGTTTTGAAAACCAAGTTGCCCAGACTGACCTTGAACTTGGGATCTTCTGGTATTACAGGCAACTTGCACCAGCTTGAAGTTGTTTTGTAACACTTTTATTTTTTCCTTGTACATGTAAACAGAAAGGGCTATTGGTAAGAAAACTTTCTCTTTCTACAAAAAAAGAAGAAGAAGAAGAAGCAATTCTCCACATATCCTTCCCTAGACTGCTTTTCTTTTAAAATAGATTCCCTGTCAGCACAGATATATCATTCTTCTAACATCTCCACGGTGTCTATTTATTTATCCATCCAATCCCCTCTTAATGTCCATAAGGTCCATTTGGGGTTTAGTTCAATCCACTACAATAAATATTAATTTTATGCCATGTTCAAAGGCAGGTAGTCTGCAACATAGCTGGGCAGGCCCTGGCTGTCACTTATGGGCACCAGGAGGGGTCACGGAAAACACCCCAGGCTGAAGAACTGATAGTCAACCTGGATGTGCATCTGTGCCCCACCCCCATCACTTGGGTGACCTCAAATGAGGACTTTGTGCCTCTGAGACGCTTTGCAGAGCCTTTGGATAGATCCAGTGAGCCCACCTGGGTGGAATCACTTGGCTCAGAATGTTCACTGCAGAGTAGGTCCCAGCCACACGTACCTACTTTTTTATTTTGTTTTACTTTTTTTCTGGCTGATTTTTTTCAAACTAAATTATTACATTTAGAGTTAATTAAAAATCAGCCTGATCCAAACTAGCTACCAAAGCATTATGGCAGAGCTGCTGACCACACAGGCTGTGCAGGCAGGCAGGCCTGGACTTGACTCCCAGCACTAGTTGAAGGCACACCTCAGTTTGCTCGGTCGTCAGATGGGCCTGGTAACAGGAAGCACTTTGTGGGATCATGGTGAAGAGTCATTGCCACCATYGAACTAGCTTCTGTGCCTGTGTTCTTCAGGGAACAGTCTCTCAGTCTCAGGGTGAATCCTAGAAAAGGCAGAAGGCTCTAGATAAAAAGACTTTTGAGTGTTGCTTTGAATCTGAATCAGGGAGCCTGAAGACAAAAGCAATGACATCATCACATCAACTGAGAGTCCAAACCAGGTGGTGACTTCTGTCTTCACAATGACCCCACTGGCTCAGTCCCCCCCAAAAAAAAAAAAAAATACTTCTATGACTTGTTCTTTGTCCCTGTCCCCCTAGGCATTGCTTTTCACCAGAAATATTTCAAGAACATTCTAACGGGTGCTCTGATTCCAGCCTCACGTCCACRTCTACACACTAGGGCCTGATTGATCAATATTACTGAAGCCCAGCTCTAATCCCATCTTCCCCTGCTCCAACTTCCCAGTGGCTCCTCGCTAGGTGTCAGATGACATCCCAGCTGACAGGACTTGTGGGGCTCTCTAGAGCCTTGCCTCAGTTTGACCTCACTCGTCCATTCGCATCTGGGCCACCACAGCCGAACGACGCCTTCCCCTTCTCCTCACTTGCACTTTGCTGCCAGGAATCTTCTCTGCTTGCTAGAGATGCAGTGCATTCCCCAGAGTGGCCCCTTCTCCATGAGGGTTAAGATGTTAGGCTCAGAGCAGTGAAGAACCAGGCCACGCTGGGGAGGTGGTCGGCTGGGACTCGGTGGCTACCTGTGTGCTCTCTCTTCTGCCAACCACAGGCGCAGCATCTCACCCACCTGGGATCGCTTCCCTTTATGTGGAGCCTGCCTGCCTCCTCTGCACCTCTCACAGTGGCATGTGTGCTCATAGATCCACATCGCTGCAGCTCCAGTTCCAACTCCTTCCCACCATAACGCCCTCTTTTGCTTCCCTAACTAGGATGAACTTCTTCTTCCTCAAAATCCTCAGATTTCTTTTCWTTYYTTYTTTTYTTTTTTTTTTTTTTTTTTTTTTTTTTGGTACTGGGAATTAACCCAGAGATGCTTACCCACTGAGCCACATATCCCCAGGCCTTTTAATGTTTTTATTTAGAGCCAGGGTCTCCCTAAGTTGCTTAGGGTGTCACTAAGTTGCTGAGGCTGTCTTGAAGTCATGATCCTCCTACCTCAGCCTCGCAAGCCTCTGGGATTATASGTGTGCACCACTACACCCGGCAGCTGTGTTTCTTTTTGCTCCATGTCTTATTTCCACTGTTCAAAATGCAAGTGTCCACTCTTACATCTCCCAAAGAGTCTGACCTGTCCGGATCTCTGAGTGGATGCATGCGGCAGGAAGGAGGACAGAGTTCAGTGGTGCAGCCTCAGGCCTCCACCGCGGGGCAGAGGCTGGGCCTCATTTTCCACTGCAGCACATGTCAGGGGAAGGGAAGGGAAGCTGCTGACTTTTGATCCACATGGTTGGAGGAAGCAGGAGTTAGAGGCTGATGTGGCTGGTGACTTGGTTTTCAAAGGTGCTGGGGACAGTTCTGCAAATGGGCCCTGAGTTTCAGTCCCATGCTCAGAGACTATAAAGACCAGGTGAGCACAGTTCACCCCCATACCCAAGCACCCTTAGCAGGGGCCCCACGGCAACTTTCTGTGCCACTGTACCTCTCTGGGTGCTCACGTGCTCTCCCCACTCCCGTTTCTCTCGTTCATTTAAAACTTTTGAAGGGCAACAATTTAAGAACAAATCAGCAGTCATCAATCAGGGGGTGGGTTGATGCTCCCTTTCTGGAGTAACCAAAGTAGAACATTCGGGATAAACAAGCTCTGGAATTCTTTCCATCTTCCACTGTATCCTGTCCAGAATTATGCTTCAGAGACATTATTACATCCTCCCTCCAGGCATGTTTGCTAATTGATACAAAGAAATGATTTCAACTTTTGTTCCATCCCAAACTGCTTAGCGGGGCCTGAACCTGGCACAGTGAATGGCTGAGCAGGGATTTGGGGACACTCACCCTTGAGAAAGTTTTAGGCTGTGGCCAGATTAGATACAGAGAGTGGTAATAAAGCAGCTTTAGGACTTCTGGGGGCCATAAGAAAGAACTTTTTGACAGGGAGGATATTAAACAAAGGAACAGACCCACAGGAAGATGAAATCCTACCTCAGAAGAAATGTGGGGATGGATGAGGCGTCAAATGTATTAGACATGTTGAGGGGATTCTCTTGAGATCTGCTGATCCACTTAAACCAGGCATGTCCAAACTCACTTCATCCCCCTTTCATCTGCCAGCCATAGTTACCCAAGGCACAATTCCAGGCAGCTCAAAGAGATGCCCAAATTAGACTCACGCCAGCACCATTTGAAATTGCTCTAGTTTCCTAAGTACTTCAGGTTGGCTCATGCATGCTCACCCAAGAGGCCCCGGATCTGCCAGGGCTTGTCTCACATCTCACAAGCCTGGAGTGGTGTGGTATATGCATGTGCATGTGGGCTGGGATATGTGTGGTGTGTGTATATATCGTGTGTTATCGTGGTACTATATGGATGGGGGCGGGTGTGGTGTATCTGCATGATATAGAGTATGTGTGTGAGTGTGTGGGTGGATGAGTGTGGTGTGAGGGGTGAGGATGTGTATAGTGTGCATATGTTGTGTGGGGGTGTATGATGGGGGAATCACGTGTATATGTGTGAATAGGGAGTGTGTGTGTATGAAATAGGGTATGCATGTGGTATGGGAGGAGGTGGAAGTATATGTAGTATTGTGTGTGAAGGATGTGTGTGTGTGTGTGTGTGTGTGTGTGTATGAGGGGTATACGGTATGTGTGTCTAGGGTGGGGGATATATACGGGGTGTTGGGGGTCTGGTGTGCACATGTGCATTGAATTGGGTGAGGACAAGGGGCGAGGCCCAGCAGGCTGATGGAAGGACTGAATCTAATACACATGTGTATTGAAAACTTAACAAAAGGGCCCCTTTACTGGGTGGCTTCCAGCAGCAGAGGCAGAAGTTCCTAAAACCAACCTCCACAAACAGAGCATGTCACCTTGCAGCCCCTCTGGCCCAAAAGCTCCCACCCTCAAGCCTCCCATTCCTTACCCCTCTGGGCCAGAGTCCTATAAACTGTACTCTCCAGGGGCCCCAAGTCCAATCAGCTCAGAAGCCTGGATTTCCCATTCCACCCCACCCCCTCCACCCACGCAGCTGAGGTCACCCAGCCCAGCCTCTTTTGCAACTTTCCCAAGTCTGTGCGCAGAGGGAGAGGAGGAAAACTCAGAGGGAAGTAGCTGGCTAACAAAGTCTTTCAGGTTCCCAACGCCGCCGTTTAATTCTCTGACTCAGCTGAGACCTTTGCTCCAAGAAGAGACCTCCAGACTCAGAGAGAGCGCCCACCTGCCCCCGGAGGCCAAGTGCTACAGCCTCAGCGTAAGTGCTCTGGAAACTTGTCTCTATCCTTCTGTCTGTCCAGCAGCCCCCAGAGCTATTTGGGTGTTGAGGGGAGGAGTAGAGGTAGAGGGTACAAGGAGGAGGCCTAGAATCTGGCAGCTGCAGGTTTCGATCCAGCCCAAAGACCCCCATCCTAGGGAAATGACTGGGCGTGGTGGCAAGAAAGGACTTCCCCACCCTCCCGGGGAACTGGGGCCCTGCTGGGGGATATGCAAGGGCCGGCATGCCTGGCAGCTGCCACAGCTGGCTGAGTCAGTAGAGGGAGGTGCTGTTGCTCCAAACCTGCAGGGCCTGTGGGGAACTGGAGCCCTCCAAGAGGACTGGGTCCTGTCACACCTAGAGACCCCTTGCCACCTGAACAGGGTTCTTTCCGGCATGGAGCTGGGTGGGTCAGAGGATCTCACCAGGGAAAGCTGAGCTCCCAGAAATAGGAAATTATCTCTTGTTCTAAATCAGAAACATGCTTCCTGGCAAAGGGTGCACTGCTAGATGAGCCGATGAACAGAGACAGATCTGAGTCCAGCTTGCCACCAGCCAGTCCTTGACCCAGGAGTCCACCGGGGTATCACAGTGTTTTTTAAACTGCAAGTGCTGCATAATTGCTAGGCATTATGTATTCATAGAAATAGTTTCATGGGGCCTACTGATCAATCCCCCACCACAAAGGTCCTTATCAATATACTCAGACCTACATTATGCTGGTGCATAATAGGGACACACTACATGTGCTCACTGGGTGGATGGCTGGGTGGCTTGAGGGGTGGATGGAGGACAGATGAATGGAGGGGTGCACACGGAAGCCTCTATATGCTCTATATCAGATGGGTACACTACTTGGGGAGATAGGACCAATACATCCAGACAACTTAAAGGACAGAAATGCTGAGCTTCCTGAAACCAGGGCTCTGGGTGCACTTCCCAGAGGGAACAGGTCTGGACCTGCTGGGATTTGAGTGTTTACGGCTGAATTTCATTCCTGGGAGGCAGCAAAGCCTCGGGCTCCCTAGACAGCCTCTTCGCACAAATAGCAAATTTATACCATAGGAAATGGCAAGACTGGACATCTGGCCACTGCAAATCCCTTCCCTTCTTCCAGACTTGACTCCACAATTTTTAGGTGGATATTTGCCATTTTCTGAGGTGTGGGATGGGAGGAGTGGTACTAAAGAGCAGGATAAGAAGCTGAGGAAGAGCACATGCTGGGGGCGGGGACTGCCCCAGGTCCCTGGTCTCCCTGTCAACAGAGGACACCTCACCTAACACCTGAGGCAGGAGACTGCGCCTGGGTTCTGGCTGGGACCAGTGGAGGAGGGAGAGAAGGGCAGTGGGAAGGCGAGAATGGAGAAGATTTAGAGTTCTTGAAGGACTCTTCCTGGACTCCAGGGCTCAGCAATCACTCAGTCTCTCTTGCTTCGCAGGGACATAGCCATGCTGTAGCTTGGGCACGTGGGTAGGGCCTGGGCTCAGGCTTGGAAGTGCTGCCAGGCAAGAGGGGGAGAAGGGCTGGTCACATTCGGTGGGGAGTAAGTCCTCCCTGTGTGGACCTGGCAAGTCCCACACTCCACGCCTGCTCCTTGCTGTTACTTAACAGGGAGGATGACTCAGCCTGGCCTCTGGGACGATGTCCTGCTCTGGAGCATCTGAGTCAGCCATATGGGCAGGAAGAAGCTTAAAAGGACAACTATGGCCAACAGCCTAGCCCAATGGCAGAGTAGAGAGGACACAGAAAGGGATCTCAGCCACTGTCTGAAGCCTGTGCTCCCAGGGAGAACCCTGGTGCCTACCCTGAGCCAGTGACAGTCACTCTCTTACAATGAGTCAGTCCCCTGTCACTCTCCTGTTGCTGCTGCTGATCCTGGACCACAGAACCAGGCTATTTTTAACTAGCAACCTCAGCAAATGTCAGCCCTCGTGGAAATGGCTTGGGGGAACCTGCAGCGGTGGTACATTTTGAGGGCACATGGGGGAGGGGCAGGGTGGTGGAGTGGAAGGGGAGCTCATAAGACAAGGCAAGTTACAAGGATGAGTAGGAAAAAAGACACAGAAATAAATAAATAAATAAAATAAAACCCAAAGGAAAGACCTCAACTCTACGAAGAGCTGGCACTTGGCAGAGGAATCAAGCCTTTTTTGTGTGGCCCCAGGAGATATCCAACCCTAGCGGAAGCTCCATGGGACAGGGCTGGCTCTGTGTTTTCATACATGTGGCTCAAGCACCAGCTGGAGATGGGATTCAATGACCTTTAAGGTCCTTGCTGTGGTGGGCAGGCGCCACACCGGTAGCTTGAAATCAGCCTTGGTGGGCAAATTTATACCGTAGCAAATGGCAAGACTGCACATCTGGCCTCTGCAAATYCCTCTCCTTCTTCCAGTTGTCAAACATTTATCTGGATCTTTCCCAACTTGAGAAGCCTGTTATAAGAATGTGTCACATGCCACCTTCAGAAGAAGCCACAGCCATGAGATGTCTCTGTCTCTTGTTTACCCATGAGGGAACACACTCCCCAAGATTAAGCACCTCAGTCTAGGTCACAGATGTGCGGGGATGGGATGAGAGCTCTGACCCCCAAACTCATGATCACTCCATGGTACCAGGCAGCCTTCCTCCTGCCCCAGCCGTCAGAATGACTCATCCTTTTAGGAAGTCACTCTCAAATGACTTTGGGCTGCCATCAGTTCTTTTTAAAAGAGAGGTTCCTTTACCTTATAGTTTTAACTACAGAAAAAAAAAACCCAAAGGGAAGACCTCATAATAATGTATTATATGTTCAGAAATAATTTAGGCTTGTGGGACAAATTTTAAAACCAAACATACATGAAATATAAAATAAAATGATGGCTCTTTGCATCTCATCTACCTTTCTCCAGCCCTCTTATTAATCATGTGGTGTGTCTTTCCATAACATTCCATGTTTACAGGATAAACATTTGTGCAATGTTAAACATATAGTCACACATAAGGGTTGCTGTTTTTGTATAATTGCAATCAAATTATAGAAAATCTTCATTTTTTTTTCTACTAAAATAACCATGTGTATCTTTCCACTTTATCACTTCATCTTTTTAAAACTGCCTGGCATTCCAAAGCATGAATGGATTTGAATTTATGTGGAAAGGCTCTCTTTATGGACATTTAGATTACAACTCAGGGGCACCAAGGGCAAGGTGTATACTTCTCATTCTAGTTTTGCGGCTGGGCAGTAGAATCTCCCAGTCAAGGGCAAAGACTCTAGCAGGGTGCTGTGGGACACACACCTGTAATCCCAGCAACTCAGGAGGCTGAAACTCAGGAGGCTGAAACTCAGGAGGCTGAATCAGAAGGACCAGGAGTTTGAGGCCAGCCTGGGCAACTTAGTGAGACTCTGTCTAAAGGAAGGGAAGGGGAGAGAAAAGAGGCAGGGCAAGGCGTGGTATCTGGAACTAGACGTGGGTTCAAATCTCAGCTCCAGATCCAGGCTCTGCTCTGTAGGCTTTATGTCTCCAGGCATGAGCTGTTTAAGTTCTATAAAGTCCGCTTCTTCAGTAAGGATGAAAAAGAGATGGTAAAATACAGGTGATAATAATAATGTCAATCTGACAGGCTAGTTTTGCAGCCGATAAAACAGCTAACAATTTCTTGAGCCCTTCGCTTGTTCCACTAAAGGTATCATAATAATATATTATGTGTTCAATGTATTATAATGATGAATTCATTCATTTTACCCTCACATAATATGCATGTTGCTTATTTGCATATTCTTAAAGCTCTCAGCTGTCAGCAACCATTAGCCTGTAGTATGAGACATAGTCGGGCAACATGCATGACTCTCACAGTGTCCCCTTGGCCTCAGCATGATGAGCTTGCATCCCAGTGGTAGGTCCTATTCTGCAGTCTCAGTTCCCTTTCTGCCCTCTGTGCTTCTTTGTCATTTTGGCTCCCTCTGTCTCCTCTTGTTCTCCTGGGGTTTTGTGGGGGTCACCAAACCTGAGCCCAGTGCTCCGGATTCCTGTGCACACAGATTCCATGGGTTTGAACTCAGAGGATCTGAAGGCAACAGAGTGTTAAAAACTCCTCCTCTGGCCTTTGACCGGAACATGAACTCATCTGTTTACTACCTTGGGGCCTTGGATGAGTGACAAGGCCTCACTTCTTGGAGTGAGGACCTCCTGCATCTGTGGAGCTCCTCGGAGAGCCCTCTGCAAGTGCTCAGCCTCTGCCACTTCTTTCACCCCTTCTTCCTTCCTCCCTTTGGTTCTGACTCCCTTTCCTAAGGCATCGCCTTGGTGTTCCAAGCTGAGTTGCCATGCTGTCCCCTTCCAAAGTGGCCATGGATGCTTAGAGATCCACGCCTTTTAGGAGCTTCTGAGTCACCCTCTCCCTTGGCTGGTTTCCCTTGTGGGCAGTGACACCATTGCAAAATGCCAGCCAGGGTTCATTCCCTTCCCCTTCAGGTCAGAAGGATAGGAAATATTTACTGAATGAATGAATGAATAAGCGTGGCCGACGCACGGCCCATCTTGCTTCCTCTCCAGGCTTCCTCCCTCTCCCTGAAGCAAATCAGCGCTGTCTCCATTCAACCTTCCCAGGGTTTGGCCTACCTCGTCATCCCCTCCCCAGGAAGACAGCGCCCCCAACCACATGCCTCATTTCTTCGGGGCCTGGTTCGATTGAGTTTCCACCATACTTTCCCTGTGTCTCTTGGGAACTGTAACTTTCTCCTGTGTCCCTTGGCCCTGTGCCTTCTAACCTAGTGTCTCCCTGCAGAGGTGTCCCGCGTGCTCCATCTTGTGCTGCTCCCAGGGTCTAGCATGGGACTCTGTTAAATGTTCTCATCACAGGAAAACGGCAGTGCCTGTGTTCGTTAGTTGGAGTTAGCCATTTTATAATGCGTTCATGTTGCTTTTCAAAACAACAAGTTGAGAGGTGGGGGCATAGCTCAGGAGTAGAGCACTCGCCTAGCATTTGCAAGACTCCAGCTCTAATCCTCAGCACTTCAATAGAAAGGGGGAAAAAAAAAAAGGATGTTTTACTAATTCAACTTTAATATCCGTTTATACTATTTGGAGTGATGTCATATGTACAGCTTAGCATCTTCTGCTTTCCGTTTAGAATCTAGGACATAAGCATTTTCTATAAGATGCTCAAAACTCTATTTTAATGACAGCTTATTAGTTCATGGTGTGCTGTGATTTAACTACTTCTTTATCATTAAATGTGTAGACCACCATGGAGAACACTCTTGAACTAGGGTCTCTGCTCACGTTTCTGGCTACTGCCTTAGAACAGATTCCTAGAAGTGGAGGTCTGGGACGTTTTTAAGGCTTTCAATGTTTGTTGCCAAGTAGCTTTCCAGTAACATCTACCAACCTCACCCCCCACCAGCTGCAGTAGAGAAGAGCCTTTTGATTCTGCAATTGTAGCCTCACCTCGGGCTTGGGAAGGGATGGTCTTCCATTCAAAGCCTCTGAGCAGTGCTGACAATGGACCCCTTGTCCTGCCCACCCCATCTCCTCTTCCCACAGTGCCCTCCATCGCTGGCTCCAGGCTTGACTGTCTGTGAGGCCTCTGTTCACCCCTGTCCTGCCTTCTTGGTACTCTAAGCTGACTCTCGGAGCAGGGTTGCCTTCCTCCTTCCAGGGTGAGGGATTTGTCTCTCCTGAGGGTTCACAGCCCCTCCAGCCTTGTGGGGAGACCCTCAGGGAAATGAGGGGAGAAGGTGTAAGGGTTCCTAACTCATATGCCTCTTTCAGAGAACAGCCCTGCCTCCGTCCTGGGCCCAGAGCAGAGATCTGCACACTGAAAAGGGGAGAGGAAAGCAGAGACCAGCCTCTGTGTCAGTGGTCTCAGGAGACACTGGCCAGCATGTAGATGACCTCTGACCTTTTTCCTACAGGTTCTGAAGCCACTTCATGAATCCTCGGAAGAAGGTGGACTTGAAGCTCATCATTGTCGGAGCACTTGGGTAAGCCAAGCTGAGCTCGGGGTCTGGGATTCTGGAAGCGGCCTTGCCAGGGCAGTGGGGCCTCTGTGATGTGCTCCCACCCCACGCCCAGGGTCCCCAGGGGTGGGTGACAGAGAAGTGCACCCACCTCAAGGAAGGAAGCTGAGTTAGGAGAAAAATCTGGCAGTAAATGATGGGTTTGGTCCCAGCACTATAGTAACCAGCTCCGAGAATATGGCAAGACATTCAGCAATTGCCCTCCCACCACCTGCCACACCCAGAAAGGACCTGCCTGTTGCTATGGGGATTTTTCAGCTCTCTCCAGATCTCTCTGCTTCCTTTGTTTGGTTTCTACTTCTAGAAACCATTCTCCAGTCTCTTGCTCCTCCAAGGGTGGTCCCTGAACCACAGATGATAGAAATCCAGAATCTCAGGGAGAGATAGCATCATCAGGGGGATGGTACGTCTCTGAGAATGGCATTGGGTGGGTGGGTGTGTGTTGGTAGGTGTGCGTTCACATGTGTTGGCTTTTCCACAGAGTGGGAAAGACCTCCCTCCTTCACCAATATGTCCACAAGACATTTTATGAGGAATACCAGACCACGCTGGGGGCCAGCATCCTCTCCAAGATCATCATGCTGGATGACACAACTTTGAAGCTGCAGGTGAGCAATCAATGCTCTCTTTCCCTCTTTGCCAACACTCCCTGCACAGCCAAGGGTAGTCAAGTGGGCTCAGAGTTAGAGTGGCCTGGAGCAGAGACAGCTAACTTCAACCCATGGGACAAATCTGGTCTCTTCATGGGCACACAGCCACATGCATTTGTTTACTTACTGTCTTTTCTACTCCAATGACAGTGAGTAATTGCAACAGAGAGAGAGTGGCCAGCAGAGCCTAAAATACTTACTGTCTGGCTTTTTGCAGACAAAGAAAAAAAAAGATGCTGGTGCCTAATCTAGAAGGAAGAGGACTAATTCAATTCTTAGGAGACCTTATGCCTTCTTTCTAAATTTCCCTGGAAAAATTGGTGGTGGCCTTGGGCCAGTCCCTCCTAAAGTCCATGTTTCTAAGTCCAATGCCTGCCCTGATGACCCACAGGCAAAATGAGAGGTCAGATGTGAAAGTCCTCCCAGGAGTTAAATGTTTTTGCAAAGGTGTTGTAGTGTGCGAGGGCGAGAAGCTCAGGTCACCTGTGTGTGAAAGGCCCCTACACACCTGAACGTAAACTGGGGCTTTCCTCTCTGCCCAGAAAAGGAAGGTTTGGCATGAGGTAACCTGACTGTACCTCCCTCCAGCCACTCACCACAGCCCCACGGGACGCTGCTCTTCCCTTCTAGATCTGGGACACAGGCGGTCAGGAGCGGTTCCGCTCCATGGTGTCCACCTTCTACAAAGGCTCTGATGGCTGTATCCTGGCTTTTGATGTCACCGACCTGGAGTCCTTTGAAGCCCTGGATATCTGGCGGGGTGACGTTCTGGCCAAGATTATCCCTATGGAGCAGTCCTACCCCATGGTGGTGCTGGGGAACAAAATTGACCTGGAAGACAGGAAGGTATTGTTCATTCATTCATTCATTCAACAAATTTTATATCAGCACCCAACGTGTCCCACACATGCTGAGCTGAATCAGGCGCAGTCCTTACTTCAAGAATTCCATAGTTTAATAGTGAATACAGACCCTTTAAAAAACAGTTATTGATGGTAAATGCAATTATAGAGATACACCTTGGAGAAATGGAGAGGCCAAAGAAGGGGCATCTGTCCCAGTCCAGAATAGAGGACAGGCTTCTTAGAAGATGTGGGTTCTAGGATGAAGACACAGCATGGTGTGAACTGAGAACTGCAGGTGATCCTGTCTAGACACAGGGAGTCAAGGGCTGAAGGCCTCAGATGTAATGGGAGTCTCAATGGAAATAGAATTAACCTGTAGAACAGCATTTCTGCCATGGTCAAGTAGGGGGTCTGCAGTTACAAATTCTTGGATCTGTAAGTTTTCAGGAAAAGTAACAACTTTTTAATTATCATAGGAACATTTAGCATCATGACTAACCATTTGACAGCTGGTCTGCTTCATAATCACAGTGGCCCTGAGAGTAGGTATTGACCATCATGGGGCCATTGAGTAGAGAGCTCTTTTAATCCTTGCCTGCTCATGAAAAAAGAATAAAAGTAGCCTTAATTTGTTAAAGATGCTCTGCACCAATCCAAGTCCCAATGACACCCAAAAGACCTGTTTGAGCTGTGCTCAGTGGTGCACACTTGTAATCCTAGCAACTCGGGAGGCTGAGACAGGAGGATCGTGAGTTTAAAGCCAGCCTCAGCAACTCAGTGAGTCCCTAAGCAACTTAGTAAGACTCTGTCTCTAAATAAGATACAAAAAGGGCTAGGGATGTGGCTCAGTGGTTAAGTGCCCCTGAATTCCATCCCCAAATACCCCCACCCTCCCCCCTCCAAAAAAAAAAGCTGTTGGAAATAGGTTTTCTTGGTGTTTCAAATAGAGAAAGGTAGTGAGGAAGTGAATCATCGTGTTGGAACCGTTTCCACAATGGCTCAGAGAGAAAAGTGATAGGAGGTCAGAGGCATCACTTGGCACGATGAAGTAGGTTGATGGATGGAAGGAGGCAGGAGACAGGAGACGGTGCTTCTTCCAACGGAGCCGCCACACGTACCGGGGAATCTCTGGTGCCAGAGAGAGGCATGTTGGGTTTGGACGTGGAGAACAGCCCCAGGCAGCTGGGGAGGACAAGCAGGCTTTGGAAGACATAAGAATGAAAGCTCTAAAGGGAAGTCCATGCTGGGAACAGCTAGCGAGAAGGCGTCAGCTCTGTGTCACTTCACGTTGGAAACCCAGTGTCAGTTCTCTCATCACAAATATCCAGGCTCTGACTAACAAAGCCCTAAGTTCATGCAGAGGTAAGATGCTCCCTTTCTTTGTCCCCACTGGGACAGCTGCAGGGGAGAGTCTCATTGCCAACCTTACGCCTCAACACCCCACCCCCTTAGCCGAGATCACAGGTGTCGGACCCTGTGTGGTCGGGAGAGCAGGGCAGGTCTTCTCTGACTGGTATTGTCACCAGAGGGTTCTGTGTTCTCTTTGGGCCTCGTGATGGTGGCAAGCTTTCTTCTGTGGGTCACTCCTTTGGGTCCTTAAGAAGACTTCTCCAAGAATATTTCACTGTCCCTTCTCAACTCCTGACTTTTCAGCCATCTCCCAAGCCACTAGGGTCACCTCCTCCCTCAAATAGTCCTCTTGGTAGCTCCAACCTGGCTGTCCCTTTGTAGAGCCACTTCCCAAGGCACAAGGTGACTCTGGCTCCATTGCAGGGACTTTGTTTTCCCTCCACCCCATCACCTTCTACCTCAGATCCAGTCCACTATGTCCACCAAACTCCAGGGTCCGTGTTGTGGGAGGAAGGGGTAGTTGCACACACAACACAACTTTCTCCAAAAGAAACCTTTCTAATCCTCCTCTTCAATGTCCGTTCCATGAGCGTTCAGGTCAACGAAGAGACCCTTGGTCATGAGCTTTTGGAAATGTGTGTGTTCCCCGGGGTGGTCTGCCTTCCAACTCACTTCTCGTCTGATGTCTATCAAGCAGTCATGCCACCCCACCAACATCCATTTTAACATTTTGTTTCATGTGTCTGTGAGTCTTAAGGTTCAAGGTCCAGGGAGTTCAAGGCTGAGAGTCTGACTTTTTCTCAGTGAAGTAAGAGGTGCCACCTTTTGATGAGAGGAAGGAAACCAAGTAAGAGCCTTAGGAAATCATAGAGCTTAGCTTGAACAGTTGTCCCTAAAAGAAATGAGAGGAGGAGCCCATCAAGGACAAGGACAAGAACAGATGTGAGTGCTCGCCAAGCAGGAGACCGTGAACTTGAAGTGGAATCACTGGTGTGTTCTTTCTCAACAGCCCAGCCTGGGGGTAAATGCCAGGAAGAAGGGACCTGAGACTGAGGCTTCTCCAAGCAAGAGCAGTCAAGGGGTAGAGATGACAGGGCTCTGAGAAGCCACGAGGGAAAGGGGAGGAACAAGGGGAGAGTTGAGGGCKGGGGGCCAGAGGTTGGAGACCAGGGCAGCGGAGAGGGCACCCAGGAGTTGAAAGGAGACTATGGTCATGGAAGAATGGGAGGCCAGATTTGATATTTACAGAGGCCTAGGGTCTGGCTCTGGGCTGAAGTGGAGAGATTGCTGGGGAGAAGGAATCCGTGCACTCGGGGTAGAACAAGCTGCAGCAGATCCCACGAGTTCAGGGAACGAGGGGTACCTGGCAGGAGAGGAAGCCAGGTGCAGCTCACAGGGGAGAGGGGTGAGCTTGCAGAAAGAGGAAGAAGAAAGGATTGAAAGAAGCCACGAGGCACCAGAGGCACCAGGCAAGCCAATCCCCTCTTCAGCATCCATGGTCAAGAGCGCTATGCGTCTAGCCTCATTGGAGACAGCAAGAGGGGGAGCAGCAGCCCCCCAAAAACCCAGGCCAGCCAAGACAGGGAGGCAAAGTGAGGGTGCTGGAGTCCAGAGTCCGCCAACTGGGCCAGGGGAAGGGTCTGAGGGAGGTGATGTAGCAGACACTGGAGGTGAGGAAGTGCTCATCGATAATGAAGTGACAATAGGGAAGTGGAGAGGAGGAAGTGGGTGGGGGAGAGCAGAGGGACTTTAACCCAGAGACCCAGGAAGGGAGGCTGGGAGCCCTGCCAGGGGCCTGCCAGTCCCTGGCCGGGTATGAGGAAGTGATGAGGACCAGCTGAGAGGGAGATACCTGGCAGGCACATGGTGGGTTAGAGCTCGGCTAGCCACACTCCATGCCCATCCCTGGCCCCTACCAGCTTCTTCCTCTGTGGAGTAGAGGCCAGAATATGAATTCCCTGAGGTTATTTGAGAATTAAAGAAAATTCTGTGATTATTATCCTCCTTATTATCTCTAAGGGGCAAGTTGGAAAACACAGCATCTTTTCCTACTTAATAAAAAGAAAATAACATTTAAAAACACATTGCTAGCTTTGAGAAGATGACAAAGTTCTAGAGCAAAGTGGTGGGAACAGTTGCCTGGCAACAGAAATGCCCTCGAATTATATGCTTAAAAATGGCTAAAATGTTAAATTACATATTATGTATATTTAACCACAATAAAAACATGCATCTATATATTTTGCTTTACATGTAGCCAGAATGATCCTAAAGAAATTACTGACTTAACTTTTCTAAATTCCAACTACTTCTACAAAAAGCAATATTAAAAATATTTATATATATATATATATATATATATATATATATATATATTAGAATAGCTCTGCAAACAAATATATGCTGCAAGGAATTTATTAACAGGGATGTGAGTGCTTTGCTCTGCACTTAGGGAGGTAATCTCAATCCATATAATCAAGATCATGTTTTCTAAAAATAGTCTTTGTTACTCTTAGTAGTAGTTTGATGGTTTACTAATTAATTTTAGACCTGCTAATCTTAGCATTTATGCTCTCCATCATTTTTAAGTGCATAAGAGTTGGAAAAGCATCATAAATACATGATGCAGACTGGACTAATTTTTTCCAACATTTGTCCTCCAATGAATAAGAAAAAACCTAACAAAGAAAGAAAATTGTTAAGTATCTGTTGTCCACCATGAGGAAAATTAATGGAAGTTGCTCTTCTAAAATTCCCCTGTGTCTCCTGTCCCCAAGTACCACACTTGGAGTTTATTTTCAAAGTTATAAATAATGTTATAAATAATATATACGTCATAAATAAAAGATAAGACAATCTTTAAAAATATGAAACTGAGGCTGGAATTGGCAGAGAAAACCGAAAAGCCCTGTCTGTGTGGCTTCCTTCCCAGGCCAGCTCTCTGAGGGCGGGGGAGGCCTGGAGAGAGATTTAAAAGAATTACTTTGCAACATAATCTCCAGTGGTACACTGAAGTCTGTATTCAATCACTCCTCAAAAACAGAGAAAGAGCAGGGGAAAATGAGATAACGTGTCTGTCCTGGCTGGGCACCCAGACTGTCCTGGTCACCCTCTGGTGAGGCAAGGGACGGCTGAGATTAGCAGCTGCCACTGCCGGCCTGCCTTCCCTGCTGGGTCCCTGGGAGACCTTGGGCACCCTGCCTTCCCTGCTGGGTCCCTGGGAGACCTTGGGCACCCATCTTGAGCTTTTGCTTTTAATGCCATGAAAGATAAAGAATCCCACTGCCTCCTGGAGAAGCAGTCACCTTCCTTTCCTTTCCTTTCAACTTCACAATAGCTCCTGATTTCCCACCGTGGGCCCAGTTAGGTGCTCAGCTCCTGCRGGGAGGGGGGCTGGGCAGGGGGCAGGACTGAAAGAAGGAAGGAACCGTAAGAAGTTGAAGTCCAGACTTTGCCTTCAAATGCTTTATAAGTTACAAAGTCCTTTGAGCGCCTAAAATGTAATCAAAGTTCAGTGTATTGATTTTTTTCTCTTTTGTGCTGGGATATATTGGGGTATATTGGGGATTGAACTCAGAGGCACTCGACCACTGAGCCACATCCCCAGCCCTATTTTGTATTTTATTTAGAGACAGGGTGTCTCTGAGTTGCTTAGTGCCTCACTTTTGCTGAGGCTGGCTTTGAACTCACAATCCTCCTGTCTCAGCCTCCCTAGTTGCTAAGATTACAGGCGTGCACCATGGTACCCAGCTAGTGTGTTGATTTCTAATGACCATTGATTTTCATGCCTGTCACTGATGAGGATGATTYTAACCAGCAGCTCAGTCAGCCTTGATTCTTTCTCCAGATAGTTGAGGGTTTTCCCTGAGCTGTGAGGGATCTTGGTCACCACTTGGTTTCTTGATCCTTGAGCATCTATGCCCCAGAGGACAGAACATTCCTCCTCCCAAAGGCTCAGAGATCRGAGGCCATGACTACGGCCTGGAGATTCTCCCTGCTCTGCTCAAGTTAACAGTACGTGGGAGACTCACAGGCAGCACCCAAACAACAGACCACCTCACTGGTCTCAGTGGTCACCCTTCAGTCTTGGGTCACAAGCCTCACAGTGCCAAGGCCATGCTGGGGACAACGGAAGCATTGTGAAAGAAAAACATGAGCCACTAGACCTACTGCCACTCCTGGGTCTAGGGGAACAAGGACCAAGAGACAGTGGACATCATGGCGTTCCCAGAATCTGCAGGAGTGAAGGAGGCAATTGGATCTCTTCCTGCCTGCATTGCTTTCAAGAGAAAGGTCCTTTCTCCCTAAGAAACAGATCTTGGATCCCTTAAATGAATTGAAGTAACAGTTATATATCACCAGGCACAGCACAGCGAGCACTCCATATGTATTCATCTCCCCCTCCCCCAAATAACCAATGAATCACCAAACTCAGTGGTACCAGTTGTCTTTGGAGGTAATCCGAAGTGCTGCCAGGACATTTTCCCATCCAACTCCCCCAGACTCTAATCAGCCATTGCATTTGGGAGATGTCTTTCCTATGTCCCAGGCCAAGCACTAAAAGGGTCCTGACCCTGAGCTCAAAGAATCCACAGTCCAGTGGGAGCAACAGAAAAGGAGAAGTAGGGTTCATCTGCAGTGTCCTGCAGAAGCCAGCTCAGGTGCCAGGAGAATGCTTTGCTGGGATTGCATCCAAGCTCTGCCTTCTCAGCTGTGTGATGTGGGGCATGTCTCTGGGCCTCTCTGAGCCTCATTGTACTTGTCTATAAAGTAGAGTTAATAATAACCATTCCATAGTGAGAGTGAGTGCATCAGATGAGTTAAAATATGATAAAGTACTTAACACGGTGCCTGGCCCAGAGCTTTTTAACTGTTCTCAAACTCTACCCTGGAGAAAAAGGGCCAGGAGGGAGCCAAGTTCCTGCCCAGCAACAGGTCTCCTGAGTAGCAGTCTGTTCAGCTGCAGGGGGGTTGGGGAGAGGAAGTCCTCCCTCCCTGCCCTTCCTGGCTTGTGTCTGTTATGGCCATCTCCCCTCGTAGGACTAAACAAGGAGTCAATGACAGGAAGAAGCTCCTGGTTTAGATGTTAGGAAGCAGCATATGAATGGACTCCAATTCTGCCAGGCCTGTGTTCAAATCCTGCTCAGATACATAGACTCTGAGCAAAGCTTTTCATTCCTAAGGTCTATTTTCTCATCTGTAAAATGAAACTAATAAGAACTATCACAACTAGATCTCTGTTGAGATGTGTAGGTATAGGCATGTGGAAGGTTCTTGACAAATAAGAGTGACGGTGGTAATATGGCATGACAAGGCTSGGGACGTAACCATGGTGGGAATAGGTGTCATGTGATGGAGATGGGGAAATGACTCTCTCAGTCCATTTTCTGTTGCTATAGCAGAATGCCTGAGACTAAGTAATTTATGAAGAAGAGAGGTTTATATTAGCTCATGGCAATGTCAGTGGCAATGATACAGGAATGGTGACCACTTTTCTTCCTTGCCTAGGTGCCCCAGGAGGTAGTCCAAGGCTGGTGTAAAGAGAAGGACATTCCCTACTTTGAAGTCAGTGCCAAAAATGACATCAATGTGGTGCAAGCCTTTGAGGTGCTGGCCAGCCGGGCTCTGTCGCGGGTGAGTAAGGGGCATGATGGTGGCACTGGCTAGAACTGCCCCTAGGCTCAGCAATCCCAGGAGCTGCCAGGAGAAAAGAGTATATTGGTCCAGGTGGGGATGTTCGCGTGACAGAGTGCTCATCATCTTGGTGAATTATCCACTACGTGGCCTCAACAGTTCAGGGACCATAAAATGCAACAGAATATGCCATCAGCGGCCCCAGAGTCTGGTTATCAAGATTCTTTGCGGTGAATATGAAAATTCCATTCCTGTGCCTTACCCCTGAAGATTCTAATTTTAGTAAGCGTTTGAGAAGTGTTTATCCAGACCAATCCTCATGGGGGGGACAGGAGCTCCATGGAGACAGGCATTTATCCAAGCAGAATACCCAGCCTGCTGAGCTGCTGACATCCTCCAATCCAAAGATGACCAGACCCAGACCCCGCGGTGCCATGGCTGCACAAGCATGCATTGAGGGTGGGATACCTGCTAGGCACCATGCTAGGGTCAGGGGACCCTGGGTCTCAGGAGGGAGACAGAGGAGCAATTGCAGTTCAGCCCTGGCTCAGTGGGAAGGGCACACCACAACCCCCGTTTGAGACAGGGAGCCAGAGAGAGGAGGGGAGATCTTGAAAGGCTGCCTAGAAGCGGGAGCAGGGTTTTAATGCTGCTTTGATGTGGGGGCTTATCTTTTTTGGATGAGCCTGACACCTTTAATCAGTTGGACCTCTTAAAAGAAGGGAGAGGATAATCCCAGCAATGAGAGGAATGGAGGAAATGAGCAAATGCGGGTGGGGGATTGGAGGCTTTCCCTGAGTGGAAGCATGTGCCATCATCCTGTCGTTGTGGGTGACCCCACGGGCTTGCCTGGCCCGCAGCTACCTGCTGTCCAGGAGTGAAGCGCTCCGGCCACTGGGGGCTGTGCACCGTGGAGAGGGGCCGCAGCGACCTCTAGCGGCTGCCCAGGGAGAAGGCGCGAGCTTGCCACCCTCACAGCGCGGCGCGGATCTGGGGGTTTGCCCCGCCCTCCCGCCACTCCCCCAGGGCTTGGCTGGTGCTCCCATTCCCAGCCTTGCTCTCTCTGGTTAGAGAGAAGCAGCGGGTGTCCACCTCGTCGTGCASGGTCAAAACGTGTGGCTTTAGTACACAGTCGGGACAGCTGGCTCCTACCATGCAGGTGTGCCTGTCCCCACCATTCCCAGGAACACTAACTCTTCCCTTCTACCATGACCCGGGATAATACCCCACAATCGCTCCAGTTATTGCCAAACGCTAAGTCACAAGGAAGCTTCCATCAGCACACGGCCAGGGTCCCTGTGTGGTTAGCATCTGTCCTTTTAGAGGAGAGAGTGTCCTTTATTCTTGAAATTATGTCTTTCCTATTGAATTAGGGTTCAATTATGCCCTTCCTTCTGTGCCACAGGTTATGATGTGGTGCCATCAGTAGATGGGAGCTTGTCCGCTTGTTCCTTTTAACATCCTTTCTTGGCAAAAGAATAAGTCAGCAATTCCTTGTTAGTCCCCCACGATTATGCAGGAAATTGACTGAGCAGACGTCTGGGAGTGACAAGCGTGGTGACTGCGTCAGACTGACCTAGATTTGAGTCCTTCCTGAGGGCCTGCGGGTGGACCCCCCAGAGCAGGACATATGACTTGTCTGACCCTCAGTTTCTTCATCTATAAAATAAAATTAATTTCATTCCATAACCATTTCTTGGGCTGTCAGGCCAAGGCTGGAGATAAAAACCTCAGTGCACTCGGGGTCAGGAGAGCAAGACATTTCACAAAGTGAATGGAGTCCACGCTGCAGGAGATCGTGATGAAGGACAGAGGTGACTCAAGCAGCTGGTGGCCAGGGTGAAGGAGGTTGCCTGACTGGGGAGGTGGCAAGTGAGCAAGGTTTTGACAGGCGTCTCACAGTTTGCCAGTGGACATGATAAGCCACTGCGGGTGTGAGCAGGAGGAGAAGAATGGCAGAGAGAGAGGGCAGGTCCCCAGCCCAGGCTTGAACATGGGGCCGAGTGAGGCACCAACTATGAGTGGAGTTTGCAAGGGAGGGAATTATGTCATCGAGGGATGCAGGTGTAGGGACACATGCTGAGTGACACATGCTGAGTGACAGTACCAGATCACAGAGGCCTCGTGAGCCCCACCAGGAGCACAGACTTCACGCCAAAGATCCATGATTTCTGGATGGTGCTGCTAACTGTTCAGGGCCCTTAGGGGCCACCCAGTTCCTCGAAGCCCAACAGGGCACATCTTTCTGCAGTGTCTGTGCTATTCAGAAATTTGCAAGAGAAACATTTTCACATTCAGACAGACTTACCAGGGCATAGAAAGTAAATTTTGCATGGGCATTTAGGGTGAAATATATTGAGGTCAGAGGGTTTGTTTTTTTTCAGGGGTGGATTCTGGGGATTGAATCCAGAGATGCTTAACCACTGAGACCTATCCCCAGTCCTTTTCATTTTTTATAGGACAGAGTCTCACTAAGTTGTTTAGGGCCTCACTAAGTTGCTGAGCCTGGCCTCAAACTTGTGATCCTCCTGCCTGAGCCTCCAGAGCTGTGGGAATTATAGGTGTGTGTCACTGTATCACTGTTCCTGGCAAAGAGTTTTCCAGGTCATGTCCTACAAGGTCTTTGCCCTTCCTCCCAGGGAGATTGTGGGCTCCTTCAACCAGCTGGGGAAAGGTTTGGGAGGGAGAGGTGCTGATTCGATAAGGGGGGRTGGTGGGAAGAACCAGGCTCTGATGTAGGACATCAGGCTTGAAATCCCAGCTCTAGACCTGCTCGTGGAGTATCCTTAAGCAAGTCATGCAGTAGCTCTAAGCCACCACTCCCTGATCTTTACAGTGCTAATTGATTGTGAGGGTTAAATAAAATAACAGCTATTTTAAAATAGGAGCTATGCCTGAGGGTTTTCAGCAGAGGAGCTTCATGCTGCAGAGAAGGTGGGCCCTGGAGGTGATGAAGAGGCCACTGCAATAGTCCAGGCAGGAGAGGACAGAGATGGTAAGAAGGGAGTGGACTGAAGAGACTTTTAAGGTAGAAGCATCAGGAGCTAATGACGGTCTATCTTAGGGTTAGGGTTAGGGTTAGGGTTTAGGGTTAGGGTTAGGGTTTAGGGTTAGGGTTAGGGTTAGGGTTAGGGTTTAGGGTTAGGGTTAGGGTTAGGGTT